TACTTTTGGAATGAACGGAGAAAGTATATATAATCACTACAAAAAAATAATATATTTATAACGGAATTCCGTCCCTAAAGTTCACGTAGCTAACGTAATTTCATTCCTAATTCCGTCTCTAATGTCATTAGTAACGGAAAAAGTAGATTTAGAGACAAAAAAATTTTGTTACAAAAATAATTTTTTTTTGTAGTGAATTGATGTGTTTACTTATTTTTTGAATAAATATATTTTTTTATACTCTCTCCGTACGGCTCTAAAGGTCTCATTTATTTTCTGCGTCATTGTACGTAACATTAAAAATATCATTGTATTTGTATTTTTTGCACAAATGTCATTATAACAATATTATAAGACACTAATAGAATTATTTGTCATTTTCCTTTAATTTGTATTACATAGTATATAATTATTAATATTCAAAAAATAATACGCAAAAACTAAATTGGACCTTTAAGAACCGGACGGAGGTAGTATTAGATATGAAAAATTATTTCATTAATATAAAAAATAATATTTTGTGTTAAATTATTGATTTTTGTGTATGAATAGAATATATATTGTATCATAATAAATATATTGTATTTTTAGTAATATTTATTAGAAATCATACTGTTAAAACATAAGTTAGATGAACAAACTCAACATATATATTTATGTATTATCTCATAAAAAATCAATGTTTAATATAATAAAATATTATTTTTATATTATTGACACAATTTTTTATATTTGCAAAAAAAAAAAAATCTATGTATTTTTAGTATTATGTGATATTATATTCTTAAAAAAAAATTTAATATAAAATATAGATAATTGTATGAATAATATAAAAATAATAGTGTGCTTAGTATATTAATTGTTTTGAAAAAAATATGTTACAAAAATTTTTGGTAAAAAAACCAACCATTGATTTTATTTTAATTTGTATATTTAATCTACTATAAAAACAATCAGGTTTGTTTGTTTAGTGATTTTTTATGAAAGTTAAGGTAAAGTATAGAAGAATATGTTGTTAATATAAAATAATAATATTTTATATTAAATATTACTCTATTTGTCCTATTTATCATATCAATTTTTCTATTTTCTTCTATTCCATTTATTTTGTCATTTTTATTTTTTGAAAAAGAATTATACACTTTAATCTTATTTTAAAAAATTTAATTTATAAATTTTTAAATTTTAATTATACTAATAAATTATCTTAATCTTAATTTATAATTATTTTTATTATACAATAGTTATTTTCTCTAATATATTTTTAATTATTTACTAATTACACCTCTACTAAATTTTCATGTCTACAGTAAAACGGACAAAATATCCAAGACGAAAGAAATAGTTTTTATAAAATATAAAATAAAAAATCAAATATAATGTGAATTTTGGAAAAAAAAAAAAAAAAAAGAAAAAAGTATTAACAAACAAACGCTCATTCTTCATATATTTTAAATTTATTTTTATTAACTATTTTACGCCATATTCTAAAAATCAATACAATAGTAATATTTTTACTAATAAATGTGGTAGTTGCACCTAACACCACCAGGACATGGCAGGACGGCAGTGGTGTTATATAAGTACTCCCTGGACTTTATCAATTTATGTCTTCCTCGTCCTACGCTTCACGTACACGTTGTCGTTTTTGTCCGTCTCATATACTATATTATTTATTTTTTTTGGGAAAATAATTATACACTTTAATTTTATTTTAAATTGTTAATTTTTTTATTTTAATTAAACTAATTATTAAACTAATTAGTTATCTTAATTTTAATTTATAATTATTTATATTATAGTATAATTATTTTCACTAATATATTTTTAATTATCTACTAATTACATTTGTCATAAAATAATGTGTCTACAGTGTACTAGACACGGTATGTGGGATGGAGGTAGTACAATTTTTACTGGTATCTGTCAAATATTTTATATTATTTTTCTAAAAAGAAATTACATGTTTTAATTTTTTTAATTCATAAGTTTTGAAATTTTAATTAAATTAATCGATTATTTTAAAATTAATTTAAAATTATTTATTTTATATTATAATTAAAGGTTTGTTTATTGTTTTATTTGAAAATTTTTTATATGAAGTAGAGTAAATTGAATTGGTAATATTAAAAATATAAAATTTTATGTTAATTTTTATAAGAGGATAAAATATATATATATGTCGAATAAAAAAGAGGTTTCGGCAAATAAATCATAATTTTATTATTATATTTTTAATTATTTACTAATTATAAAATTCTTAAATTTTCGTATTTACAGTAAATGTGACATTATATTTGGGATGAATAGACTAATTATATCACTCCTTCAGTCCCATAACTATGTATCTATTTGTTTTTTGTGCGGAGTTTTAGAAATATTAGTATTATATTGGGATGTAGTAGGAATAAAGTAGAAATTACTAAAATAATATTATTAATATTGTGTAATATAAAAGTAATGACATTTGTGTAATATATTATAAGTTGTAAGAGTATTTGTAATATTATGTAGATAATACAATTATTAAAAAAAATAGATATTTTGTTATGAGACGGACTAAAATAAAAAATAGATAGTTTATTATGAGACACGGGGAGTACATAATTTATATTTATAAATATTTATATATACTACTTCCTTCCGGTAACAATAACTCACTTTTTTTTTTTAACCCAGTTATTTAAATAATACTCAATTTGTCCCTTATCTATCTATATGTTTACTTTTTGCACGAAATTTAAGAAATATTATAATTATATTAGAGTGTAGTATGAATAAAATAGAAAATACTAAAATAATCTAATAAGTATATAAATATAATAATATTTATGTAATATATTGTAAGTTGTAAGAGTATTTTTAGTATTAATAGAAAATACACTTACTAAAAAATGAAATGGATACTTCGTTATGAGACGGACCAAAATAGAAAAATGAATATATTATTAAGGGACTGAAGAAGTATAAATTATTAAGTTATTAATCGTTAATACGATATTATTTTATTATCTTTTACATGACTATAGTTGTTGGTATTTTAAAAATATAAATAAATAATATTATATCTTAATAAAATAAATACAATATTAATATTTTTGTAAATAATAAAATTTTATATAATATAAATAAAATATATATTTATTTATAATTAAGTTAGATTAATTTTATAAAAAAATTGAGTGTTCTAAATGTATATAATAACATTTATTTCTTGAACCATATAAATAAAGAAATTATGATCGGATACGTGCAAGATAATAAATATTTATTTAAATTAATTTATATTTCTTAAATATATTTAAAATATATTTATAAGAAAGAGAGATAGTATATGTATTTCTCCATCAAAAGTTTCTTATATATTTTTTAAATAATATTATGTTTTTATTGTTTTTTTTTTGTTAGGAATTCTTAAACACATTTGTTTGGGCATAAAAAATTAAAAATAACAATATTTTAATATAAAAGTGAAATATTGTGAAAGATCTATTAAAAAGCTGATTAAAAAATATTAGTTAGATAAGTACAAAAAATAATGACAAATAAGTTATAATTGTGATTTTAAATTGAAATAGATATTATTTATTTCACAAAATTTTTAATAAAAATAAATACTTTTCTTTCATAAAACATAAATTTAAAATCAACATTTTATTTTAAATCAATTTCAAATTACAATCAAACAAATTTTATTACTTTGTTAATATAGATCTAGGTAATAAAATTATAAATTGATAAAACTTTTTACTATAATTAAGTCACATAAATTTAAGGTGGGTTTGTTTGAGAGGTTTGTTTGGATTTCCACTATTCATCTTTTTTTTTTTTTTTTTTTTCCAAAAACATCAAATCAAACACTTATTTTTCATTTTTTATATTATACTAAAAATCAATTTTACCTTCAAAACATCACATCAACACCTATTTATATCACATCATACACCTATTTTGAGTTGGGATTTGAATAGTAAAAATTTTGAATTTGAATAGTTGTATGATGTGATAGAAATAAGTGTTGATGTGATGTTTTGAATGTAAAATTGATTTTTAGTATAATATAAAAAATAAAAAATAAATGTTTGATTTGATATTTTTGGAGAAAACAATAGGATGAATAGTAAAAATCCAAACAAATCCCTCAAACAACCAACCCCTAATGGACAATTTTTTTTTTATTCTTACTTTTTAAAAGGACTACGTGATTGTCCTGAATGATTGGAATACAATATTTACATATATAGATTTAATATAAATAATAGTATATAATCTATCCATTTTAAAAATAGATAATTTAATATAAAATATTATTTATATATATATATTTAGTATATATTTCAAACTAGAATCATAAAACAAACACATTCATATTTTGATTATATATTTTACTATTTCAATTTTTTTTAAAAAAAATATCAAATTAAACAAGTATATTATTAAATTTTACATTCAAAACATCACATCAATACATATTTATATCACATCTAACAACTATTTCAATTCAAAATTTTACTATTCAAAACTAAAACTTAAAACTCAAATCTCACAAGTAAACGCACCCGTTCTCTTTTTATTTCTATTCAAAAAGAGTTTTATTTCTCTTTAGTAAATATACGGACATATTGTGTTTACTTGTCAGGTTTTACACCTGATTTTACTATTCTAATTTTTTTTTTTCCAAAAACATCAAATCAAACACCCAATTTTTATTTATTTTACTACAATAAAATTTAATTTTACATTCAAAACATCACGTCAACACATATTTATATCACATCAAACAATTATTTCAACTCAAAATTTTACTATTCAAAATCAAAATCAAAACTCAAAACTAAAACCTCACATGTAAACACTTGTGTTTTTCTTCTTTCTTTTTTAATTCTTTTTATTATAAAAACTTATTATTATTACTCGTATATATTAAAACTTATACTCAGAAGTATGCATATTTTTATGTTAGAAATCGAAAATAAAAAACCTCTTAAGAAGAAAATTACCATCAACAAAGCTTTGATGTGATCCCAATTAAGCTCAATCGACCCCAACTTCTCTTCTTTAAGTTTGATCAACACATCAAGAATATCTTCATCCAAATCGACGTTCTTCGCCCGGTCCGGATCAACATGTTCATCGATGAGCTCTTGGTAGAACAAATCCAACTTTTTGCATGTAGCATCAAGCCGATTTAGCGAGCCATTGAGCTTGTCGACCCAACCAAACCAAGGGAAGTAATCCGACACAAAGGAAGTGGCAGCCACGGCCTCGGCATCGTGCATGAGCTCATTAAACCTTCGCATTTCTCGCCCCTCCTCGTCATACCTTGATGTAAAAGAATTACACGCAAAGAAAGAAAAGTTAAAATAATTCCAGAAAACAGTATATTCCATCTTACTCAAATAAATTTGAAAATTTACATCTACATAGAAACTTCGCATTTCTCGCCCCTCCTCGTCATACCTTGATGAAAAAGAATCACACACAAATAAAGAAAATTTAAAATAATTCAAGAAAACAGTATATTCCATCTTATTCAAATAAATTTGAAAATTTACATCTACGTAGAAACTATTTTATATGCCCTTCCTTTTTTTTTTTTTTACTTTTGTTCGTTAAATTTACCTTATTACTAGTTTGACAAAGTAAGATATAGTATTTAACTATTATCCTTCATTCAATATACAACAAATGTTATGGAGTTATTACATATTATCTATGTTCTCTTTAAATCTCCATAAATATTCTAACTATTGTATACTTTTTAATAAAATATTCATATTTCTTAATCAGAATCTGGATTTAAAATGGGCTAAAATTTTTGGGACGGGGAGGGTAATTACATAATAAATCATAACAACATTTGATAATCTTATACAACTTAGATTTAAATTCAAATAAACATACCTCTTACCAAAAGCGCTTCGATAAATCAAAGTGCTTGTAAGCGCCATGGCCAAATCATTCAAGTTAACAACATGTCCACATGAAGAAGCTACGCGCTTAATCATTCGATGTATAATTTCATCCTTTCGAATCGGATAAAACGATTGGATCTTCTTGACACTGAATAGATGGACGGCTGTGATCTTCCTCATTTCCCTCCAGTACTCGTTGTAGGGCGAAAAGGCTATGTCGACGCCATTGTAGGAGAGCTTCTGCTGCCCCCGAAGCTTCGGACGGCTGCAGAAGACAAGATCGTGAGTTTTAAGCACATTTTTCGCGAATTTCGCTGATGAAATGATGAGCACAGGGACAGAACCCAGCTTCATTTGCATTATGGGGCCATATTTTTTGGCAAGTTTCCATAGAAAGATGTGAGGGATTCCTGCAGTGGCGAATTGGTGAAGGTTTCCAATCAATGGCAGCCCTGGAGGGCCTGGTGGAATTAGGGTTTTGGCAGATCTTTGGCTAATTTTGTGGAGAAGATAAACAAAAATTATTGGCAGAAGAAGAAAGATTGAGAAGAGAATTATTTCCATCATTGCTATGGAAATGGAGAGTAGAGCTTTAATTTGCACAGAAATTGAAGTTGATCCTCTATATATATATATATATATATAGTACTCTTTGACGGGTTACGCATTGTCTGTACGGTACTTTATATATATATATATATTATCTGTATTTTTCTACAATGCCGAATTATTGAATATTATCAATTGAAACAAGGAAATATAAAATAAAAACAATCCACACAACTATAAATAAAAAAAAAAAAAAAAAAAAACACCAAAATTGGTATTATATTATTAAATCCGAAAAGAGAAATACAAAGATAGTAATTTGATATTATATTATTAAATCCGAAAAGAGACATAAAAAATCTCATATATTCTAACATTTTGTTCGGTTTGAAGTTACAGTGTAAAAGTTCATATTTTACTCTCAACATAAAACAAGTATATATAACATCAGACAACGATAAGATCAGAGTAAAAAGCATTATGGTTGACCCTAAATGTGCCCAATAGACTTGCCCAAACGATTTAAACCGTCGATTATGGTTTGCCAAAATATCAAACCGAAATCGAACATTTCAAATGACAATTTCAGTTACGGTTTTGATGGTTTCAGTTACGGTTTAAAAACCGTCGGTTACGATTTGAATGGCCGGCTTATATATATTCATTTTAATATTTTTCTTTTTTATTTTCTATTTTTTCTGATTTATATTATATTTAAAAATAATTAATTTCAATTTTAATATTATTTAAAAATATTTGTTATCTATTTATTATATAAAAAATAAGTAATTAATTAAATTTTTACAATATAATAATAATTAAATTAATAAATTTTGGAAGTAATTAAATTATAGAAATATTGATATATTAGATAATAAAATAATTTAAATTAAATACTATTATATAATAAAAATTTAAAAATTTAAAAAATAAAGAAAAAATAATATTATAACATATTATATTTCAGTATCATTAATAATTATTTATTTTTATTAATATTATATTTATTTTTATTTTTTTAAGAAAAATTAATTATAAATATATTATTATTATTAGTATTATAAATTACATAATTTTGTCATAATCAATTCATTTACATAATTACACATTCCACCGAATTTTCCTTTTTCTTTTTCTTTTTAAGTCTTTCCTTTCTTCCGCATCTATCATCCTTGGTTCCTTCTTTCCTTCTCCTCTTTCTTCTTATTCACCTACCATGTTCTGCATGCGCAGCGGTGTCACGGCGATGGCCAAATTTTAAAAATAATAAATGAATAAATGGTTGAACGAGATGTTTAACCCATTTAAAACAAAAATTATAAATAAAATGGTTGAACAATCGATTCAGCCATTTGCAAACTTTGGTCAATTGTGTTGAGATGCAAATAGATCCAATGTGCGCAATCGGTAATCCCTGAAGAAGCTACCTAATTTTTACCCATAAATAGCATAGAGGTGAGACTGAAGGCAAATCAGTGATGTATGTCATTCCGTGCTTCCTTTCATGCAATTCGCAATCGGTGAGTTTAGAGTTACAACGATCTTAATTTTTTTAATTTTAAATATATTATTATTATTATTATTATTATAAATACATAATTTTGTCTTAATCGATTCATTCACACAATTATATATGTAAAGCCACCGTAGCCGGGTTCTCTTCTTTCTTCTTCTTCTCAATTTTTTCTTTTCTTCCACATCGATCATCCTCGGTCCTCTTCCTTCTTTTTCTTTCCTCATTTTCTTTCTTCTTCTTCACCTACCTTGTTCTATTGCGCCTGTGGTGTCGTGGTGAGACCAGATTTTAAAAAAAATATATAGTTGAAGTTCAGCCAATTTAAAACAATAAAAAGAAAATTATGGACGAACTGGTTAAGCCATTTGCAGACCATCGATCATCTGCGTTGGGATGCAAACAGATGCTTCGCGCGCACAATCGGTGATCCCTGAAGAAGCTACCTAATTTTACCAAAAAATAAGTGAGATTGAAGAAAATCGATGATACAGGACAGGTCATCCCCAATTCGTACGTCCCCTACACGCAGGGAGTTCAAAGTTAGGCGATCTTGATGATTTTTTTTTTTTTTTTTTTTTTTTTGTGCCCAACAAATTTAAGTAGGAATTGACAACTTTAGACACTTCTCCACAATATTACCTCTTCGCAGCGCTTGGCAAAACAACAACACCCACTTGCACTTATAAAAATAAGGGTAGATAAAATAATTCATGCAGTAACCTCTACGGTATTCTTATATATTAGTGTTTTTAGATATATATATATTCTTTTTAAAAAAAATTTACTAAAAATTACTAATATATCTTTTCTAGATTGATGGGCCTACTCCCTTTTTTACTACCCCTCTATACCCAACAATTAAAAAATAATATGTATAATTTATTTTTTATTTTAATTTTATAAATATATTTTCAAATTAGTTCTTAATTTGTAATTTAATACTTATTTATATTAGATAACCTATTATATTAACCAATATGTTTAATAATTAAACTAATTTATATAAAAAATAATTTATTAATTTACACTATCTAAAATAAGGTATTTCTGACCGATTAAAAAATAACATATTGGTTAATATAATAGATTATTTAATATAATAGGAATTAAATTGCAAATTAAGAACTAATTTGCAAATATATTTATAAAATAACTATAAAAAGATAAATCACACATATTATTTTTTAATGGGTGGGTATAGAGGGTTAAGGAAAAGGGGAGTAGGCTAGTTCAACCATTTTTCTTTATTTAGGTACGTTTCATTGGGTGAGTTTGAAAATTCTAATTTGAATTTTAATATTAAAATAATATATGACAATATATTTTGTGAAAAAAAAATATATATTATCTTTTAAGAAAAACGAATATGCAAATAATAAAAATTTGAAATTTAAAGACAAAAGAAACAAATCCTTACTGATTTTTTTAGCTAGATTATAAAATTTGTGTCTAATGAAATTACACATAGATCATTGTTTTAAACTCTCTTCGTCCATCTGTAAAGGTCATATTTACCTTTTGTATCATTATATTAACATTAAAAATATCTTTATATTTGTATAATTTTCTTTTTTTTTACAAATATCCTTCTATTAGTATTATAAAACACTAATGAAAATATTTTTGCAATTTTATCTTCATTTGTATTATATTTTAATATAATAATTAATATTCAAATATCAACATGCAAAAAAATTAAATGAGACGCTTAGGGTCATTAGTCATCTTCTTTCTTTGTTCATATTCTTTTTTTTATTCCCTCGCCCTACTGCTATACGATAGGAAAATAAAGAATAAGATGTGAGGTTCCAATTGTAACTTCATTTATTTTATAATAATAATAATAATAATAATAATAATAATATTAAGCATCACTTCGAATTGAATATTGAAAATTATCATCGGTCCCTCTGGATTTCGATACGAGTTTAATTTGGGACATCTTTCGGTTATTTACGGCTTTGAAGAAACCTATATTTTTTATTTTATTATATTTTATGCGTGTTGCAATTAGAGCCGACAACGAGTCGATTCGTATCGGATTAACTACTTTAAACGGGTTAAATTACTCAATTTTAATCCGACTCGTTTATTATCGTGTCGGGTTCGGGTTGATTCGTGTTGACCCGTATACATAATTAAGTCTAATTTCTTGATTCAAATTAAATAATTTTTTGTTTTGTTGTCGTGTTATGTTAGTTTTTATTGGTTTGAGCGTAAATTAGGTTGAATTATTTAAAATTGAATTTAGTTTAAATTAATTTATGAAAAATTTATTAAATTACGATTATTTTATATATATAATAAATATATTAATTAATATTAATATATTATATTCGGGTAGTCGTATCGGGTTCGAGTTGAAAGTCTCAACCCTAACCCGACCCGTTTATTATCGTGTCGGGTTCGTGTCAACCTGTATACATAATCGGGTTAAAATCTTTGACCCAAACCCAATTATTTCGTATCGGGTCGTATCGGATCAATTTTTGCCAACTCTAATTGCAATATATATTTAAAAGTGTGTTTCTTCAACCCCAAATTATTTGCACAGTAAAAACTGTCCACGGCTTGGGAGACACGTTTTGTTTTTTATTTTTTAAAAAAATATTAAAATGTAATTTAATATTTATTATAATTATAGGGGGAAAATATATACAATATATATGTCATTTTATAAAGAATAAATTTTCTATAATACAAATAAATAAAAATCTAAATATATATATATATGATATAATATAAATTCATAATCAAATCATACAATATAAATTTTATCAATTAAATTTAATAAATATTTATATTATTTTATTCATTATCCATCAAATCAATACACATCAAAATTTCTCAAACCCCATTTAAACTCATTCTAAAATTCAAATGAAAATCAAACTCAAACCTAAATTTCCATAAACCCCCAAAAAAAAACACACCCTGATATACTCCTTCGGTCATTTATCTTTCCATTATTGTTTCACATATATTCTAAAATATTAAAATTGTATAGGTCGATAGTTCACTAGAGATAGAGAAGTCTTTTCCTTACCTCTAAATTTATTTGTTTTTAATGACATTATTTATTTTTTCACATATATTTTAAAAAATTAAAATTGTATAGATAGATAGTTCAAAAAAGTCCTTTTCTTACCTGTAAATTGATTTGTTTTTAATGACATTATTTATAATTTTGTATAATTATATAGATATTTTTTATTTAAATTAAAAAATAAAATTACTAAAAAAATGGATTAAATAACAAAATTGATAGATAGATAATAGGCGGAGGTAGTATTTTCTTTTATATCAGATATTGTTATTATTTGGTTATGTTCATGAAATTATGTTATTATTTTAATTTAGTGAAATTGTATCACGCCTATTTATAGATCTTTTAAATGAAAAATTCTTATATTTTTTATTTTGATATATGAAAAAAAATTCTCTCTCGGTTGACAGAAGAATACAAATACAATAATTTTCTTTTGTATGGTTGAAGACCGCCACAGACGGACAGACAACAGAAACA